ATACTGAAGAACATAAAATGGAATACCATAAAGTGATGAAAAACAAAGTACAGTGTGCTGATATGGAAAAATTGCCAAATTAAAATTAGGAAGTTAAATGAGCAAGATGCAATATATATATGTATTAGGATTTCTATAGGAAATATTCCCCAAAGAAACAAATTTTGGGTACCTATTGGGTTGGGATTATATGGAAAGATTATTCTTTTTAATTTAAATTTCATAGGACACTATTTACATTTTTCTTAACAATTCGAACATTTAGATTCTCTTTAACATTAGTTATCACACTGAAATTAGTGATCCCAATTGTAAACACTACTAAATAACAACTCACTGACACAGTCAATTTTGACACACAGCGACTGTAGGAGAGTGTAGAGGTGCACCTGTGGGCTGTCGAGACTGTAACGCTTCAGGGCATTACAAAGTCTCATCTTTCACCCAGGAGCTGATGGTTGCGAGCTGCTGAACTTGTGGTTAGCAGCCCAATGCAGGACCCACTCCGCCAATGTTCCCAACCTTCCTAATGCCGTGAACCTTTAATACAGTTCCTCATGTTGTGGCGAACCCCCAACCATAAAATTATTTTTATGTTACTGTAATTTTGCTACTACTATGTATCAGGTGACCCCTGTGAAAGGGTCATTCGCCCCAAAGGGGTCATGACCCACAGGTTGAGAACCGCTGCACTACGTCATCTGGGCTCTTTATTAGCAACACTTCTACATTTTATACTAATTATATATATATATGCTTGCATGTATTTGAAAACTTGAGCAGATCGTTATGACTATAGCGCGCCTCAGGTGCAGACTAACGGATTTGAAAACTTCCACCTGCGCTACAAAGGAGAGCCTTCTCTCCTCTACCAAAAGAGCTGACAGTGCTGAGAACTAGGTCCAAAGTCTCATTATGCGAGTGGCTGAATTACAACGGCAGCTGAATTGCAGATCTAGAGCAGTGTCTGAAGCCAAAGTGAGAGCATTTATCGGAAAACGTTGGGACCCTGAAACATGGGATGGGAACATATGGGCTGATGATCCAGAAGAGGATATTGAGCCCTTAGAAACAATTGACCCACTCCAGTCAATAGATCCACTCCTCTCAGCTGAAAGTATTAATTCACAATCCACACCTGAGCAGATTAGCCAAACTATGCAAGTTGATATGCCAGGTGGGGCTACATCAGTAGCACTGCCTAAGGGAGATGCCTTACAAAATATTGCTGAGCACCCAGGAAACACCCTCACCACCCATTATTTCCACTAGACCTGTCATAAAATTAAGTCTCAGAAAGCTCCTAAAGGTGAGGTTGAGATGATTACCCAACAAGAAGCGCGCTATACTCATAAAGATCTACTCGAGTTTTCAAATACATACAAGCAGAAGCCTGGGGAATATCCCTGGGAATGGTTACTAAGGGTGTGGGATACTGGTGCATGAAATGTAATATTAGACTGGTCTGAGTTTCTGGATATGGGACCCCTAAGCACAAACCCTCCTTTCAATGTCTGCGAGAGAGGCTAAGAGAGGATCTAATTCTTTATTTGGTTGGTTCCGTGAAGCATGGACTGCCAGATGGCCTAGACTGGACCAACTTGAAGTACCTGACCTATCTTGGTACACTGTAGAGGAAGGCATCCAAAAGCTTAGAGAAATTGGTATGTTGGAATGGATCTATCAGGATATCCCCATAGACCCAAAAAAGGGGTGTCCTGAGGACATACCCTTTACCACAACCATAAGGAAGAACAAGTTTGTGAAGTGGGCCCCAGCATCTCTTAAGACTCCTGTAATTGCTATTTTATGTGCACCAGGATTAACAGTGGGCACTGCCCTAAGCGAACTCCGACATTTGCCCACAATGGAGCTGATTGGTTCCTGTGATGGTAGAGGGCAGGTGTCAGCACTGAATCAACAGAGACAGGGTTTGCGTGGTTATAATAGACAACAAGGTTTCAGTAGTACTCAAAGCAACCTGTCTCGTGTGGAATTATGGCATTGGCTACTTAGCCACGGTGTCCCTAGGAATGAAATAGATGGGAAACCTACTAAATATTTACGTGATCTCTACAGGCAAAAGAATGGTAGATCAGGTGAACAGCAGAATAGACAGTAACGATCGCTCAATCAATTCCCAGACCTGAGCCAGTTTAAAGACCCACAAGCTCTTGAATGAGGGGGAGGCCGGGTCCCTTTGAAGGAGGACCCTGCTACATCAGCGAAGGTCTATACTGTTAGTCTTTCTTCTAGCCTTCCCCAAAAGGGACCTGTGGCCTTTCACAAGAGTAACTGTTCCTCGGGGGAAAGGAAATAATCAAACTTTTTGGGGATTACTGGTCACTGGCTCGGAATTGACACTCATTCCAGGAGACCCAAAGTGTTTCAAAGGCCCACCAGTTAGAGTGGGGGTTTATGGAGGTTAAGTTATCAATGGGGTTTTAGCTCAGGTACGCCTCACTGTGGGTCCAGTGGGACCCGGGACCCATCCTGTGGTTATTTCCCCAGTTCCAGAATGCACCATTGGAATAGACATACTTAGTAACTAGAAGAACCCCCACATTGGATCCCTGAAATGTGGAATAAGGGCTATAATGGTAGGAAAGGCCAAGTGGACACCATTAGAACTGCCTTTGCCTAGGAAAATAGTAAACCAAAAGCAATACTGCATTCCTGGAGGGATTGCAGAGATCAGTGCCACCAACTCTCTCTTACGGGAGTGAGTTGCACTGAGCCATTTGTAGTGCTTTATAATTTAACTGTTCATTTCTTATCATATATCTAATTATCTTTATAAATAAATATATTTAATTATCAGCAATTGGATATAAAACTATATATATATATATATATATATCTACTAGTTGGTTGGGTTACTAACTCTCAAGGCTGTATTTTCCATTTTAATGAGCAGTATTACATGGTAAAGTAGAGCATGTATTATGCACGTAAATCTCTTCTCGTTACATTAATCCACAGAGCTTGGAATAAACCAGACACACAAACCTTCACTCCTGCTTTAGTGATAGAGATGGTCTGTTGTTCCATAGCTTCGTGAATAGCAACTTGATCCCGTATATCCATCTTATCAAATTCATCAATACAACACACTCCCTATAACCAAACAGATAAAACACAAATTGTCTTTTAGTTATAAGAGAACAAAGTCTGCTACCACAGAGACAACTCTTTAAGCAACTGAAGAATTCCTAACTCTCTCTAGTAGGGCAAGAAAGGACAAGCAAAGCAAGAAGGAACATCTACAATGGTTGACTGCTCCGCTTCTGCTCCATGGTGATGGAAGTTATCTGCTCAACGTTCTCAGGACTATCCAACTCAACGTGTTATTTATGGGCAGTCATCTGAATGAACCCAGGTCTTAAGACGCGTTAGCCTAAGTTTTCTCAGTCGTGATAGGAGGTTCTTTTCCTTTAACCAAGTCAGCACACCTTCTCTAGGGACTTTATGTTGTGGATGGTCACTGGCACCAGTCAATTCCAACTCATAATACTATATGCATGAGTAGAACTACCCTTTGGGTTTCTGAAACTTTACATCTTTATGGGGTCAGACAGTGCCATCTTTCTCCTACAGAGCAACTGGTCAATTTGAACTGCTAACCTTGTGATTAATAGCTCAATTCAGAGCCCACGACGCCCTCAGGGATCTTCAGGGCACCTCTCATTTGGTGAAGGCCACCTCTGGTTGCACAGGTGCACAGGTACCTTTCGGTACTTAAAACCAGAGGCTGCAGGGTGGCATCCTGACTTATTTGTTCTTTGTCAAGGCACAAAGGACGGGGGCAGAGAAGCTCTGCCACACAGGCAACTCATTCTCCTCTAAGAGCGCCTCCTGGTTCCCCCAATCCTTCACATTTTATACGTTTTGTTGTTGCTGAGAATACTTCCAGCAAAGAACACCCCAATCCCATGCTACATATACAATTCAGTGCCACGGACAACCTTCTTAGATTGCCCGACCATTTCCGCCCTCCTTTTGGAGTTGTTCCTCCTTCATTGAGTGATCACAACTCACTGCTCCCTAAGCTTCCTACCCAATCTTTCTCAAGATGCTGCTGTCATTTCGATGAGAGCAGAGCTCAAGACAGAGTTTTAAGAAGGATATTTCTGATTTACCATTTTGACATTTGTTAAACTAAAAACATGTAGACATCCACTGTATGTTGTCTTAACATCAGATCCCTGAGCAAATCTCATTTCAATCCATTGTGGGCCACCTTGTTAAGAGATGAAGGGATGGCAGAACATAATGACGAAAATAAGCATGTACACAGACAACATGATCAATGTACATCTCCAGAGCTAATTGATCCCCGAGTCAAATGTACGTATACATGCTCATTGAGAAGAACAAAGGAGCCCTCTTTCTCTCTAGCTGGCTTAGACACGTTCACATAAAGGGTGGGTGTCACAGTCTAAGGAAATGCTGGGAAGTGTTATCAGTTCCCATCTATGCCTAGGAAGCGCTGATTAATGATAATCCCCATTAAAACTGTTGATTTGTAAAACTATGAATAACTTAGAATGCTTTTTAAAAAGGACATCTTTTAAAGGGAAACTCAAAGACCTATACTGACAGCATAGGAGAAACTGTTTCTTTATATCCAACAGTTTAACATGGTCTTACGTTGTCAGCCAACATCAATGCTCCAGCCTCAATGACAAACTCGTGAGATTCTTCATCTCTTACAACAGCTGCTGTTAAGCCAGCGGCACTGGAAGCTTTCCCGCTGGTGTAGACAGCTCTTGGGCAGAACTCCTCCACGTGCCTGCCGATGTCATCAGACAGATACTCATTAACACAGGACTTTTCCAGGAAAACCAGCTGGAGGTGGTCACAGCAGCTCATTTAGTTATCAGAAGGGGTAAGGCCCACAGATAATTGCAGGGCTGTATGAGAAATGGGTTGATGGGAGACCACTCACCACTTAAAAAGGACGGGAATGGGTGTCCTTACATGGATAACGTTAAGAATACCCTACAGGCATTAGCACAAGCAATTCATAAATACATACCTGTCAAAGAATGAATGGGTAAAGATCTGAATAGGAAGCATTATTTCATTAGGCTTTATACTTAAATTTCATTAAATCCATTCTCGTCAACGGTAAAATGATGTTAATGTATGTCCAAAAAGCCCACTGTTATGGAGTTAATTCTGACTCACAGTAACCCTTATGGTTTCTGAGACTGTAAATCTTTATGGGTACACATGGCCTTTTCTTTCACCCAAGCAGTGGCTGGTGGGTTTGAACTGCCAACATTGTGATTAGCAGCCTATTGCCTAACCCACAGCACCACTAAGGCTCCTTTGATATGAGACTAAACAAAAAACAACACTACCAAAACAAAAAAACCAACCAGAAAACAAACTCACTGCCATGTGTCAATTCCAACTCACAGCAACGGTAATGAATTCTTTACGAGAATTCATCGTTCTCTGGGGAATGTGCTGGTAGTTTGACATTGATGACCATGTGTGGTTAGCAGCCCAATATGTAACCCAAAGTGTAACCAAACACTGACGTCTGTTTCTGTCCTATATTAAGGGGTCCTAATAGATAATGGGAAATTGTTTGGCAATATCTATTAGTAAGGTCTTACAATCAGAATAAAGGAAACTCAGAAGTGTGATTTAGCACAGACGCACAGGTTGGTTTAACATGTGGACATCAATCAGTATACCATGCTATTTGTGAAAGCCAGAGTCTATATTAGGCAAAAGCCTGTGAGAAAAGGAAACTTTGCTCATTTTCCACTAAAATGAGGGATGGAAAGTGGCAAGACTGCACCTTGTGAGGCCCAGAAAAATAAGTTATCCCATGGGGTTCTAGCTCCCAAAGTTTCACTACATGTCAAGAACCCCATGACTGCCAAGAGATGCAAATACAGCATTCTACAAAGTCCAACATCCTCTTACGCGGAAACACTCAATAAACCAGGAGGGGAGGAAAAATCTTCAACCTGACGAAGGATGTCCATGAAAAACCTGTAGCTATCACTACAACTCAAGAGTGAAAGGCTCAATGTTTTCTAAATTATTTATTTAACATTGTATTGTCGATACGAGGCAGTGTAATACCTCAAGAAAAGTAATAAAAAGGCAGAGATTACGAAGAAGTAAAATTGTATTTATGGATGACATGATTGAGCATATGAAAAGCCCTTTAGAATCTACTTCAAAAAAGCTGTTGGAAGTCTTTTTTTTTTTTTCAGTGATCGTATCATGGAGGTGAGCACACAATGACATGATTTTTTTGTTCTTTGATGCCTGAAACTGGTCCTTTCGGCACCTCATGATCACACAGGCTGGTGTGCTTCTTCCATGTGGGCTTTGTTGCTTCTGAGCTAGATGGCCGCTTGTTTACCTTCAAGCTT